GAAAGCAAAAGTAGGCTTTTCTCTATCCAATTGTTTACCACTAATAGGCTAAAGAGGGAGTAAAGAACAACAATAAAAACAACCCAAACTTACTGCAATGCAGTTGATTCAGACTTACGGCAACCCCATGTGTTACAAAGTAGAACATCTCCGTATGGTTTTCTTAGCTGCAATCTTCACAGAAGCAGACTACCAGATCATTCTTTCACAGCACTGCTGGGTGGGTTCAAACTGTCAACCTTTAGGTTAGTAGCTGAGTGCAAATCATTTGTGCCACCTAAAAACCCACAGAAAGTGGGTTGATTTTGACTTCTAATGGCCCTATAGGACAAAAACAACTGCTCCATAGGGGTTCCAAGTCCATAAATCTTTACAGAAGCTGATTGTCTCATGTTTCTCCGACAGAGTGGCTGGTGGATTTGAACCGCCAAACTTTTGGGTAGCAGCCAAATGCTTTAACCACTGCCCCAGCAGAGGGATTGAGAGGTAAAAGGACTTTTGAATGGTTCCTACATCTTCATTTTGACCAAGTCCCTACATTAGTTTCTTTGAGCTACCATAACAAAGTATTTCAAATTAGTGTTTATAAGAAAATAATTTATTGTCTCACAGTATTGGAGGCAAGAAGTCTAAATTCATGGTTTTAGCAGAGTCATGCTCTTTCTGAAGGCTCTAAGGTAAGATCTTTTTTTTTTTTTTTTCTTTTTTTGGTCTTTCCTAGCTTCTGGGTGGCCCAGACATTCCTTAGATTGTAGCTAAATCTTCATATGGCTACCTTTTCTTTATATATCTTCCCACAATTCAGGTGGGATTTAGGGCCATCGTCCTGTGGTATAGCCTCATGTTAACTTATAACATCTTCAAAGATATTTTCAAACAAGGTCACATTTTCAAGTATTGGAGGTTGTTGTTATTAAATACCATTGGGTTGATTACTGACGCAAGACTACTCTATACATAACAGAACAAAATGCTACCCAATCCAATGCCATCCCCCTGATCGATTGCCAATAGGATCATTATGATCCATATGGTTTTACTGGTTGATTTTCAAAAGTAAGTCACTAGGCTTTTCATCCTCATTTCTCTGAAATCTCTTCAGGACTGCAGCAACATTCAAGCTTCCACTGACAAAGGGATATTGGCTGTGTAGGGAATCAAACCCAGGTCTCCCACAGTGAAGGAGGGAATTCTATGACTGAACCACCATTATCCCCCCACTAAAAGTTAAGACTTCAACATATCTTTTTGAAGGATACAATTCAACTACAACAATTCCCTAGCAAATGAGAATTTTTCTGCAGAGAAAGGGTCATAACTTCAGTGTTTCAAAGTTGTCCATACCAGCTAAACTTCTCCTCCAGCTTCTCAGGTAGCTTAGGCAAAGGATAACCTTCTTCTACTCCAAGAAGGAGTAAGTGATGTGGTTGGATTTAAATCCATGACCTCTGGCTCCAAAAAACCAAAACCAAACCCACTATCACCAGGTCGATTCTAACTCATCACAACCCTATAAGAGAGAGCAGAACATTCCCATATGGTTTCCAAGCTTATAAATTTGTACAGCAACAGACTGCCTCACCTTTCTCCCACAGAGCAGCTTGTGAGTTTGAAATGCCCACCTTTTGGTTAGCAGCTGAATGCTTTAACTACTGTACCATCAGAGTTCCTTCTCCAAAGAGCAGTGCTACTCAAAATGTGGTGTGTAGAATATGGTGGCTCAGGGAACTGTTTGCTATCAAACTATCACTAAAACAAAATGAAACACACTGTCATCAAGTCAATTCTGACTCATAGTGACCCCCATTTGCTTTCTGAGGCGGTAAATCTTTAAGGAAGTAGATTACCCAGTCTTCCTTCTAAGGTGTGGCTGGTAGGTTTGAACCTCCAGCCTTCTGGTTAGCAGTAAAATGCCTTAGGCATTGTGCCACCAGACCTCCTTACTATCACTAAAGGGGAGAAATTGAAAGTAAGCAGTTAGAAATCTTAGATCTATTAAAGATTGTGATGATATCAAGTACATGATTAGTAGACTTTTCCCACTGAGTTTCAACCACTTTGTGTGCCATTGAGCACTCACATGAGAAGTTCATGTGGTACAAGTCATGTATAGTAGCAGTAATAGATAGTTCTGCCACAGACTGGAACAATAGGAGTACTTGGAGAAGCCTAAATGATCTTATTGTTGTTGTTATGTGGCGTCGAGTCGGACCTGATCATAGTGACCCCTCCTTGGGTTTCCGAGGCAGTATCACTACAGAAGTAGATTGCCCCATCTTCCTTCCGAGGAGTGGCCTACATGATAGAGGCTCAATAACAGCTGTGTAAATTTTGAGATGAATTGTTTTCATTCCCATCTAAAACCAGTTGCCAAGTTGATTCTGACTCATGGCAACTCCTTGTGTATCAGAGTAGAACTGTGCTCCATGGGACTTTCAATAGCTGATTTTTCAAAGGTAGATCATCAGGCCTTTCTTGAGAGGTGCTCCTGGGTAGACTTGAACCTCCAAAATCTTGATTAGTAGCTAAGGGTGTTAAGAGTTTGCACCACCCAGAGACTCCTACCCTTTTCTATGTCCTTCAATTCCTTGGATGCCTTAAAGGACTCATGACTTTAAGTCAGTTTATCATAAGTAAACTTGCCCATCTTTGTTTTGCCTTCAAACACAACAGACTTAAAACTTAGTTTTGTAATTATTTACAATATTCATTCTAATAAAATTTAACTCTAGTAACCAAAAAAAAAAAAAAAAGATATTCTGTAGAATTCTTTATACGCAGCCTGCCTCCTATTTCATATTAACATGAGATCAAATAGCACACTACCTTAGGGGATAACATGCCTCAATAAATATAAGCTGTATTTTCACAGGTAGCTCAAATAAGATTAAAATCATTCTCAGAAAATTTATGGCAATATGAATACCCCACTTCCTAAAGTCAGCATGGTACAGAACAGCACTGATGTCAGTTGTCCTGGAGGCTAATATTTACTCTGATGTTTACTGCATTTGTGGTTATCATAAAGTCTTCAAAATTTCTGGACCAAAATCTCATTCTCTGTGAAAGTGGGAGCTTGAATCAGCTGGTCTAAAAATTATCTGACATCTTTAACATTTCATACTTCTAGGAAAATTATTTTCCCTTACGGCAGCTTCTTGATGGAGGACTGATTTTCCCAGCTATGCATTTACTGCTGAAACACAGACTCACCTCCTGCCCTTGTATGAACAGCTCTTTATTATAAATTTTGTATTATCAGACTCCTCTAGGCTGAGTCACACGACAATGAGAGACTGACCCTCACCCCAAAATGGTGCCTTTGTTGTGGAGACATGAGCTCCAATTTGCAGATATCTCCAGGGTTGCAAGGAACTCATAGGGGCCTAATCATGATATAATGGGTCCCATAAAATGCCAATACCTATAAGGTACTGTTTATTGAATTGTTGTTTGTCTCTTAAGACCTACCTCAGGGGCCTCTTCAAATGTCTAACAATTCGAAATAAAGCCATCTGTCTTCCCCTAACCCATAAAGCCTACACCATTAACTCAGGTCTTAAATAGAGTTAGGAGTTGAATGAGCCACCCCAAAAGCACTTGAGTATGAATCACCAAGCTATAGTTGATGTAAAGGTACACCATTGATTGCTTATGGCCCAAATCATGTTTTAAGCTTCTCTGCTCTCCTGAGATGATAGACCCTGGGCTTGCCGAGAGAGCTACCAGATGTGGAATCATCAAGGTTGGTTTGGAAGTATCAGTGATTCTCATTACCTTTCATCATTGAAGATGGAGCAATAATGCAAATGAACATAAATTCAGAAAAAAAAAAAATTGGTACTATATGGGAGTTATAGAGTAAAATGGAAAATGTCTAATCATATATTGCTATTCAAAAGAATGGAAAATTCATATCTAAGCAATATGGAAAGTTAGGCAGAGTGTTTTAAAAAAAGAAAGTAAGATTATTAGGTAATAGGGTTTATATGTCTGTGCATATATAATACATATTGAATAAACAAATATACATGATTTATTGTCAAAGCTATCATAAAGCTTAAGAGGAAGGGAAAAGATAAAATCATGGATAACTTTTAAATAAATTAGGCTGTCCTTATTATCTAAAATATGATTGCAATTAAAAATTGAATACATATATTAAAAGGCATGTAAGTACACTATGAAGAATTTTCTGATCTGAATAATATTTTGGAAAGAGTACTTATAGTTTAGTTTTTTCTAGAAAAGATAAGAATGAATAGCAGTTCTTTTACAAATAAAGCAGAGTAAACAAGGAGCCCCAGTGGCACAGTGGTTAAATGCTTGGCTGCTAACCAAAAGGTTCAAACCCACTAACCACTAACCACTCCATGGGAGGAAGATGTGACAGTCTACTTCCATAAGGATTACAGCCTTAAGAGCCCTATGGGGAAGTTCCACTGTGTCCTATAGGAATCAACTTGAAAGCAACAGGTTTAGTTTTTTGTTAAGTGTTTTATCTCAACACTATCCCCAGAAAAGGAATGCTGGATTAGGTATGAAATGTATATGCCAGAAAACAATAAGACAATTCTTGTAGAACTTGAATGAATGGAGGGAAATGCAATAAATGAGTAGAATCCTAGAGGGAGATCCCATGCTTTAGCCCAACGGACCATGATGCCTGGTTCTTAAGTAGCCACAATTTATTAGGTAAATGGGTGTTACTTCTATCAGTGATCTTTCCTCCCTAACTGAAATTGACAAAAGGACCTTGAGCCTCTTTTATCAATTGGGCAAAGTCTCCTTTTTCTCAATAATTGCCTCCAAATGCTTTCATGAGAGAATCAAACTCTTCTCAACTACGAAAGGAGGTTCCAGGATAATCAATCTAGGTTTCCCAACTGCAGAGAAAGAATCTTCCCGATAATATTTGAACCACTGAGATTTTCAATAGTTTTAGGACAATTTTTTTTTCAGCACTCGTCTGCCTGTGGGTGTGCTTTCTTTCTCTGCAGAAATCAAAGATATCTACCTATGAGAAGATGTGGGCTTTTATGAGCAGCAGGCAGCAGACCGCACTAGTAAAAAACAGTGATGAGGGGATCCAACGAGTGCTCACCACTGACTACGCCCTACTGATGGAGTCCACCAGCATTGAATATGTGACTCAGAGAAACTGCAATCTCACTCAGATCGGAGGACTCATTGACTCCAAAGGTTATGGAGTGGGAACGCCTATTGGTAAGAGGGGTGAGATATTAGATGGGACAGAGTCCCTGGGTGGTGCAAAAAGTTTATATACTTGGCTGCTAATAAAACGATGAGAGGCTCAGAGCCACGCAGAGGCACCTTGAATGTAAGTCTTACATGTAAGTAATTTCCTCTTCAATCTACTTCCAAAAAATTCACCATTGAAAACACTATGGCGCATAGTTGTGCTCTGACATCATGTGTTGAAACCAGCTTGATGGCAACTGGTCTGGTTTGAGATGAGCAATGTTGATTACAAAATACAGAAGGGAGTGGGCTCAGAATTTTCTACTCCACATTCTGAAAGTCTCTGCAACATCATTAAGCCACCAATCAAACTTACTGCCATTGAGTTGACTCTAGCCCATAGTGACAGTTTAGGACAGAGTAAAGCTGCCCCCATAGGGTTTCTAAGTCTGTAAATCTTTACAGAAGCAGACTGTCTCATCTTTCTCCCACAAGGTGGGTGGTGGGTTTGAACTGCTACACTTTTGGTTACAGCTGAATGCTTTAACCACTACACCATTAGAGCTCTTTTTACAACATCTTCAGTGGATCAGTAAATATGAGAAATGAACTTATCAGAGGCATAGTTTGAATTGAAGAGTGACAGGTATTTAATAAATGTCCAACCAGTGTTTCTTTCAACCACTATATAGACTACATTTCATTGGTTTATCCCAAACAAATATCTTAAAAAGAATATATCTTCCTAACTACTCCTTCTCTTCACATTTTTCGTCAACACTTATAAAATTTCATATAGTTTTTCTACCTTAAATTGTATTATCAGAAAATTAATTCTGCATAACAAGTAGTTAGAGGACTAGTGTTCTCTCAATAGATAAAAAGCAATGTTATATCTGCCAAAAGAAAAAAAAGATATAGATTAAACTATAATTATAACGTGTTCAGGAAATATGTTAATCAACAATAACTACCTAAAATCTCAGTTTAATCCTATTCTTTGGTCCTGTACCACTGCTCTCTCTAGTAATATTATTGCCTTGTGAACATACAAACCCATAGAGCAAGGTCTTGCATGTAAGTAATTGCCCTATTAATATAGAAATGCCTTTCACTGTTTCTTTATTCTTTTCTCTTTTTTTTAATTAACTTTTTATTGTGATTTGGATGAAAGTTTACAGAGCAAATTGGTTTTTCATTCAACAACTCATACACATTTTGTTTTGTGACAATGATTGCAATCCTCCCTATATAACAGCATTCTTCCCATTTCATCCCTGTAGTTACCATTTCCCTTTATCCTCCTTTCCTATCCATCCCTGGCTTCTGAGGAAGCCATAGTTTCACACATCTTGTCTTAAGTAGGAGCAAAATCTGTCAATTACACAGGCATGAGGATGCAGAGCTGCAGGCAATGGTTTTGTCTGCTTTAGATGCATTGTGATGGCTGGCTGGGCTGCTGAGGAGGTGGCTGAGGAACCGAGTGGGTGGGTGGAATCCAGAGGAATATCTCTAGCCACTGAGTTGGTGCAGGCAGGAAGCAGGCTAACCCCTAGTCGCCAGGAAGGTATCTAATAAAGTGGAGAAAGCACCTCTCTCATCTCAGTTTTCTGGCATAGGCTCAGTGCCCCTCTGGGAGCATGCAGTCAATTATCTAGCTCCTTCCCAGAGACAATCAAGTGGGGGCTGCCAAGAGCCCAACATCTGTAACCACCACCCCACAGGCCCTCCCTTTTACATTGCCCCTCAACCCAAAGGACTATTGTTCACTGGTGGTGAGCTGTTTCTTCCCTCTTCACTGGCTCCTTCCTGACTCTGTGGTGTCCTGAGTCACTGGCAATCTCACCTACTTTTCCTGAGTTTCCTCTCCCAGCTCCAGCATATACTCTGCTTACATTGATTTGCTCCAGATCTGTCTCTGTCCAGTGTGGGTTCCGTGAAGTTGGTTTCTCCTCTCATGATGATGCCTTCTGTGTCTCAAAATGGCCATGCTTCATCTTCTCTCTCCCTGGTCACTGTCCTTGCTCTGACTCCATTTCCAATTAGCATTCAATCTAACTCTTTATCCTTTTATTTGATGTCCAGAGTTCTCAGATCATTATTTGTATCTGTTTCACTCAGTTTTTCCAGGTCAAGGAGATAGATTGACACAGTGGCTGCAACAGTGGGCTCAGGTATAGCAAGTATTGTGAGTCTGACACAGGATGGGGCAGTGTTTCATTCTGTTGTACTTGGATTACTACAAGCCAGAGCTGACTTGATGGCCCTTAACAACAACAACAACTATTATAGAGAGATTGGGCAGAGTATGTTACTAGTACACCATCTTATCTCTGCCTCCTGCCTTGTTTCTTTCTCCAAAGACAGGTTCTGGTATGGTGGCAATCTGCTCTTCTCGATTGAGTTATTGGTAATTAATTGTATGCACTCCAATGGAGAGGAATTGTGAGCCATTTTAGACCCCTGGGCCAGTTCAAAAAGCAGAAATTTTAGTTGCAAACAAGCCAGATAACTAAAGGGTTAAGGTAGATTTGATTTGAATGTTTGTTTGGTTGGTTTATATTATTTTTGTTGTTTGAAAGGATTATCCAGTTTATACCTCAAATTCAGGCAGAGATCACAAACTCAAGTTAATTTTATTAATCAGATAAGGGTAAAATCTCTTTATTTCTCATCATGAGGACACTACTAATTTGACCGACTCCCCACTATCTGGTGTTAGAAATATTCGCTATAGAGAATTAACTTACTATTATTGTTATCATGTATGTCTTCTATTTAAATCTTCTGCAAAATGATTGGGTTAGAGAATGTGTAACTGCCTTCTTGCCCTTTTATCTCTAACAGTTTGTCTGATGTAAATACCAATATCACCAGTGATATGTATAATTTTTTCCCAAATGATGGGTTTTCCTATAATTAGTATTAAGTTCTGTAGGGAGCATAGTGGGATGGTTAAACACTAACTAAAAGGAATTTTTTCTTTTTCTTTTTTTTTTTTTTTTTTACTTTAAAAAAAATCTCTTTTCTCCTTAACCAAGCTTAGTCATCTTATTTTTATAACAGTGGTGGGGAAAGTTACATAGACTTTTTTTTTTTTTTTTTTTAATCCCACCACTGCTGATTTTGGAAGCTCTGGTGGCATAGTGACCAAGGTATTTGACTGCTAAACAGAAGGTTCAAACCCACCAACCACTCCTTGGAAGGAAGATTAGGCAATTTACTTCTGTAGTGATAACACCTCAGAAACCCCAGGAGGGGTCATTATGAGTCAGATCCAACTTGATGGCAATGTGGGTTTTGTGGGTATGGGAGAGCTGATTTTAAATGGTTCATAAGTCAGGGGTGGGTGATTATGCCTTAATATATTTGTACTCCCCATCCTAGGATTGATTGTAATATATTCTACAACTTCTCAGAGGAATAACTTTAGTTTCTTAGTAGGATGGAACCATCTTTAGACTAAACTATAAAGCTGAAAAATGGTATCTTTAATCCACCCCCAAACTTGCCCACAAACCTATCAACACTCCCTTTTTCGCCACCAAATTTCTCTTCTAGTGATAGTGATAGAAAATAATAGTATGTATCATTAATGTGGATAACATGGAGAAGAATGGGAATTCCAGAAAACTTATTTGTACTCATGAGGAACCTGGGAACCTATACATAGATAAGGAGGCTGTTATTCGAACAGAACAAGAGGAAAATGCATGGTTTAAAATCAAGAAGGGAATGTGTCAGGTTTGAATCCTTTCACCATATTTATTGAATGTATATGCTGAGCAAATAATTCAAGAAGCTGGACTATACGAAGAAGAACATGTCATCAGGATTGGAGGAAGGCTCATCAACAACCTGTGATATGCTGATGACACAACTTCACTTACTTGAAGTGTGGCTGACTTAAAGCACTTACTGATGAAGATTGAAAAATACAGTTTATAGTATGGAATTACATCTCAACATAAAGAAAACAAAAATCCTCACAACTTGACCTATAAGCAGCATCACGATGCCAGTGGAAGCAGCAATCAGGACATTAGACAACGTATAGCATTGGGCATGTCACTGCAAAGGACCTCTTTCAAGAACTGAAGAGCAAAGATGTCTCCTTGAGGACTAAGGTGCGTCTGACACAAGCCATGATATTTTCAAACACCTCATATGCATGTGAGAGCTGCACAATGAATAAAGAAGACCAAAGAAGAATTGATGCTTTTGATATATGGTGCTGGAGAAGAATGCTGAAAATACCATGAACTGCTAAAAGAACTAATAGATCTGTCCTGGAGGAAGTGCAGCTGGAATGCTCCTTAGAAACGAGAATGACCAGACTTTGTCTCACCTACTTTGGTCATGTTGTCAGAAGGGACCATTCCCTGGAGAAGGATGTCATGCTTGGTAGGGTAGAGGGTCGACTAAGGAGGGGAAGGCCTTCAACGAGATGGACTGACACAGTGGCTGCTGTGATGGGCTCAAGTATATATAGCAGGGATCATGGAGCTGATGCAGGACTGGGTGGTGTTTCGTTCTGCTGTGCGTAGGGTGGCTATGAGGCGGAGATGACTCGATGGCACCTAACAACAACAACAAAAACATTATACTTCCTCAGTGTACTTGCAGTTTAGCATGAGATTTTAATTGGAATTCCTTCTACAAAATGGAATATAATTTCCCCCTCCCTAGAAAATAAAATGGCTGATAGTGTGGTGAGTAAAGTGGGGAAATGGAAGTTGGGGAGAAAGAGAGTTCTTTGTGCAACATCCTAAATTCATGTTGTTATGTACCATCGAGTCGCACCCGACTCATAATGACCCCTCCTTGGGTTTCCGAGGCAGTATCACTACGGAAGTAGATTGCCCCATCTTCCTTCCGAGGAGTGGCTGGTGGGTTTGAACTGCCAGCCTTCTGGTTAGCAGTCAAGTGCCTGAGACACTATGCTACCAATTCATGTAGTGCTTTGAAAATCACTCCCTCTGTCTTCATGGGAAAGTGGCTGACTCTGTGGTCAGTATACTACA